AAAAATGTTCAAATATTTTATTCGTCCTTTTAAGTACGCTTCCTTATACTGGGTGTCTACCGGACGTAACAACCGGAAAATATCAGAAAAAATGAGGGGAATCAGTCATGGATCAGGAAATACTAAAGGTTTCAAGCATTTTTCAAACATTTGATTAATTTCTCCAAAAATGGTAGATTTTTTTTTATCAAACTAGTGTCAATTTATTCGCGGAAAAAGTCAGAGAATCTCGTCTCAAATATGAGGATAAATCAGAAGTACATGAGGAAAATTAAAAATTAAATTTTAGTAGAAACGTCGTATCTCAATCCACGTGGCAAGGGGCCCTCGAGAAATCGGAGGCGGATCCAGTAATTTGGCAACACTGGATTTCCTCTATTTAAACCTGTGTTAAATAATCGATTGTTGTCGGAGCACCTCCCTCTAAGAATCGATACATTTCCATAGGTTTAAATTGAGAAGAAGACAATTTTGCGTATTTGCTGGATCCGCCGATGCGAGAAATTCGCGCACATTCGGAATAATTATTTGGAATACGTCAAAATGATATTGAAAATTGACATTGATGGACCATAAATAAAATATGTCTTCGAAGTCAGGCGATCCAGTCTCATGGCAAGCCTGGAGAGAAGGAGATGGGAGCCAGAAGGCGAAAGCTCTATCAAAAAATCGGTCCGTTGGAGTAAAAATAAAAATGGTGATCGTCCATCAGCAGCGGGAAGAAATTAAAATAATTCGGGATGCGTGCCCCCGGCCGGGTAGGCAACCGGCGAGGGTGAGTGGCAGAGGGCCAGCCGACAGGCCGAAACCGAGAATGGTACATTTTCTCTATTCAAATGTGCTCTGCGAACAGCAGTGTTTTCCGCCAACGTTGGCAGATTGCGAGGAAAAGACGGTCATTTCAGGCTATGATAGAGTCCCTGTAAAGGGATAGTACGGGCCGGGGATGTCGGTAATTTTGAGGCTAGAACATGGAGTTTTTAGGACTCAAAAGGGCAGCCAACCTATGAATTCAAACTATTCAGAGTGATTTATTACTACAGTTGTTACGACCTATCGTTTGTAAAGCAAATGTTTCACTTAGTTTTTGCTTAAATTTACTCGTTTTGGCGGAAGAACACTCACTGATCAACATTCTTGGCCATCTTGGTTTGGCATCGAAATCTGAAGATTGGCAGGGATATTTTTTGTGTTAGAAGGTTGTGTGCCCTTCTGGGCCCCAAGAGCTCCAGAGAAATTGTTGGATGAATCGGTTCGAAAAGTTCACCGTATTCTGTCGGCAGCACAATGGAAATTCAGTGAAATATTCGGACAGATTCGTTACACAATGGACCACTAGACTAGGCACGAATTTCAGCATTCTGATACATTTTTCTTAACCAAAATTTCACGTAAAACACAATGCGCACAAAAAAAATTACCAAAATCGACTCCTTCCGAAGATATTCAATGATTCTTCGTGCGTGAATTCAAACCACCGGCCCATGAAAACTCAATGCTCTACGTGACTCACATCGCGCGCTAAACGTTATCATGACGGTCTCTGCGATATAAAAATCTGGCAACATCAATCTTGACGCTTTGGCTCAGCTACAGCAAGTTGCATATAGTTTGAACAACGTATGGTGGGGAATGAACATTGCTCGATTGAGAAGCTTGCTGAAACCGTTGTAGTGCGCGATTTGACTCACGTACACTGAGAAAAAACTATGGCTTATAAACCTATTAGAGGTAAATATGGAACACCACTAATAGTAGTACCTCTACATATAATAATAGCACATATACCTTAGTTATGGTACGGGGTACCTTAATTAGGTACAGAGACCTTAGTATGGTTCACAGACCGAGAATCATTAGTTTATTTACGACTATTATAGGTGTTCCATATTTACCTCTAATAGGTTTATAAACCATAGTTTTTTCTCAGTGTAGAGCTTTGAGTTTCTTGTGAGCGGGCAGTTCAAATCCCTGGTAATCAGTGTGAAATAAAAAAGTTAATATCTTCGTTAGGAGTTGGTTTCAGTAATTTTCGTTGTGTGAATCGTGCCTTAGGTAAAATTCTAGTCAAGAAACATGTATCAGATTGCTTGAATTCGTACCTTGTCTAGTGGTCCATTTCTCTGTGCAAAAATGAGATGGCGGCGGGAATTTTGAAACGTCGCGTGGCGCTTGTGATACTTCGGCCGGGGGGAGACGATATCCCGACATGCCCGTTCTCTCCCGACATGAGCACTCTGGATCTCAGATTCGCATTTTCGATCTCAGCGGAGAATCCAGGGATTTCCGCGGAAAGGCGGCAACGGCGCGGAGGCTATAAGGGGGTCGACGCCCGTCGGCCCAGTAGGCGCCGATCCAAGTTAAACACAACCCGCTGCTCGCATCCCCCC